AACTTCCAAGGACTAGAGCGAGCTGGAGGTGATGGTACAATTTTAGAGGGAAATTTGCAGCAGTAACAGAGAAAAGAAGAGAAGATTTACAGCCCTTTGTTTCACAAGTCAAAGAGAAAGTGTTGAGGACACATATCTGTAGAACAGGGCAGAAGTAGAGACTGACTAAAATAAGATAAATAATGTGCAAGAAGAGGTATTTTGCACTACAGAATGAAGATGAGAAATGGGCAGAAACAAAACATTGCATGGCAACAAATAAGAGGAGAGCAACACATCATACACACAAAAAAGAGAGGGAAACAAAGAAGCCAAGGACAAACAAAAACGGAATGCAGGTTATTACAAGAGAGAACAGTCTGAGGAGGATGATTTGCTTACAGCAGTAAGCAATGGAAGGACTAGTGATGCCTATCAGCACCGTTGAGACTAGCCAGAAAACCCAGAGGCAAAGCCAGAAAGGACTGATCAAGAAAAAACCTGTGTGCTAGAGGCCAAGAAGTTAGGGGAAAATTGAGAGTAACCAAAAATTAAGTAAGTTAGACTTCAGGGTTGTTTGGGGTTGGTATTTTTGGCGAGGGAGGGGCAGGCTTTTTGCAAGTAGCGAAAGATTCTTCAGACATTCCAGGATTCTGAAAGAAGTGGACATCAAGTTCTGGCAGGGGAACATATTATTGAAGTACGAGCCACCACTGTGACACAGTCATGAAAAAAACACTGGCATCAGCCAGTTCCCTATTTCCCATGGAAGGTGAAAATATTAGCACCTGTTTCTAAACCCTTCATGAGACCTCAGTGTGTTGTATGCTACTGGTCACTTTTTTCCAAGAACAATGAAGCAGATGAGGATTGCTAGGAAGATCACAGAAATGGAAGCAACTGTATTCAAGAGATTGCATTGTGTAGTTGTAGTGGGTTGACCTTGGCTGGCAGCTAAGCTGCCACCCACTTGTTTGCTCACTCCCCGCCCCAACCAGACAGAAGAGAGAACTGGTAGGGTAAAAGAAAGAAAAACTCAGGGATTGAGATAAAGACAATTTAATAAGCAAAGAAAAAAAGCAAAAACCCACCAAGTAATACAAAAGCACCTCCCACCTCACCACCTTCCACCAGCAGACTGATGCCCTGCCAGTCTCCAAGCAATGGTTACCATTGAAAAACTCCCTCCCTCCTTTTAATGATGAGTACAATGTTATACGGTGTGACGTATCTCTGTGCTCAGTTTGGGTCAGCTGTCCTGGCCATGTCGCCTCTCAACCTCTTGTGCATCCCCAGCCCACTTGCTGGGGGTGGTGGGGAAGAGCAGAATGAGAAAAAGAGAAGGCCTTGCAAGCACTGTTCAGCAATAGCTAAAACATTGGTGAGTTATCAACACTGGTTTGGTTGCAAATCTAAAACATAGTACCATGCCAGCTACTATGAAGAAAAAAAAAAAAACAACTCCATCCCTACTATGAAGAAAAAAAAACAACACTCCATCCCAACCAGACCTAGTAGTCTAGCAAAATGGAGGCTGAGAAAAGGTGGCTGTCTACTTACTTATCAAAGAGACGTCCCAATGAAGGAAAGAGCTGTTTCAGACTGAGGAGCAGTATTGAAAGCCTATGCACACATAAACAAGAGATGGTCAAGGACTTGCAGGTCCAGGATCTAAATTCTCTAAGAAAGAAAAAAAATAGAGTTCAAAATAAGCAATAAAAATTAGTGGACCTTTGTAGATAACACCAACTTGCACAGGAACTAAACTTTCTTAGTTATGCATATCACATCTCAAGGATTCACTGACAAATTTATAAGCAAATCTTAAAGAAATTTCGATGTATCGTATGCAAGCACAGACATGTAATTTTAGCTTTCAGTACTTTCCTTTCCATGTAACTTAAATATTGTAAACAGCTATGAATATTTTCTTTTGACTGACTTATTATGGTTAGATAATAGTTTCTGTGACAGCCAAAACAGCAATATCAGCAAGTGTTTCTGCCTTGTTAGGGAAAAGTTTTGTCATTTGCTTATACATTTGTTTCTTTAAAAACAGTACTACTATGGCTTAGATTTCACTCAGTGGTAACTGCTCTTAAAGTGCTTGATTTTACCTTCATTATAAAAAAACCAGCATTCCTTTTTCCAAACAGATTATTGTGTATATCATAACTCTCAGATGCATTTTGGAATAACACAGGCTTTAATCCTTCACCTAGATTTACAGGCTATCAGGACACAAGCTACAGATAAAAATATGTACGTATTTAAATATGAGCTGCTCCCTTGTCCAAAGTTCAAGCTTCCATAAAACAAGGGTAAGTATCACAGATGTAATGAATACAGAAAGCAACTGATTAATGATTAAACAGAGTAAAAATGAAAAAGTAACAATAGCCAAATAAAATTTTTACATTGCAACGATGCGTGTTCAAGGTAGGAGAATAATTTGTCAAAGCATGTAAGTAAGCTAATATTCCTTACGTTGTTATATAATAGTTTGGATGAAACAATTAAGAAATTCAAGTAGAAACTGGCCCTGAATCGATGAAAGGATTGTATTAGGTGATCTACTGGACATTAAGAACCTCCTCTATAAAAAAATGGAATACCCTTTAGAGTATGTAAGTAGTATATTTTTTCTATATTTCACAATCAATAAAGTTCTCTATTACTTCTAAAAACTAAGCTTTTATTTTAAACTAGCAATGGTTATTTCATTACAATAAAACAGTTACGTACCACATTTAAGAAAACCAAAGATCCAGGTAACTACATTAATCGTTAAGAACAGAGTGTTCCATTGTCATCACAGTGAACAAGTATTAAAAAAAGAAGACAAATGACAAACTAATGATAACCCTGGCCTGTTATTCATTAGGTACTATAATGTATTATTTTCCTCACCTTGAACACTTTGTTCTACAGCATAAATTTGACAATGCATTTGGAATGGAACTCCCTCTCAAATCAGCTTTTTAAAGGCACCATAATAGTAATTACGAAACACAAAGCTGGTAAGTGCTTATGGACCAAACATAAGTCTTTCATATTTTTGTTTCTAGCCACCTCATCTCATTTGATAAAAACCGGCTTGTAAAATGATCAAAATGTTTACGTATTGTAAAATGTTTCTAATACATTGTAAATAATTTTATTAAAACATGTTTTGAAAAATTTAAACATGGAATTAAAACATGTTTTCTTCAGCTGTATCCAACAAATCAGATTTTAAATTTCTTTAAATGTACTTTGAGTTTCCCCATAGGGCTACTTTTGAACTTCAATTAAATTTAAAGGAAAAAAGCTGAAAACCAAAATAGGTTTTGTTTTTTTTTAAGGATTGGCAAATCAAATCAAATCAGTTAGTATGCTGATTTAAACAAAAACCAACCAACCAACCAAAAAAAACCCAAACCGCAAAAATCCCCCCGAAACAACACCATGACAAATTTCAGATCAAACAATATTAACTGTGGAAAGGTTAGAGCCTTTCTGTCATACTATAACAAAACAATTTAGCTTTTTTGACCATAGGCAAGCAGTTAATATTTCTTTTCCATTACATTCTTGTATGTTTGGAAAATATATATTTATACATACTTAATATTTTGGTTTTTATACTCACATATTTTCAATTTCCATTTGTTGTGGAAACAGTGACTGGTTGAGCCTTGTTTTTAGATATACTTTGGGTAACAATAACATGGCATGTTCCATATTGAAATAGTTCACCGGATGGATGAGATATTACTTTTTCTGGCCTTACTGTAATTTAGATTATTTGTCATTCATTTACACGCTTCTTATTTAACAGGTTTTGGACACACACAGGTGATAAAAGGGTCTGGCATTGCTTTCCATTGTTGAGTGCGGAAACTTATGTAATGATTAGGTTCTTATGCTATTTCAGCTATACCTGTGGGTTTTGGAAAAAAAATAATTGCGATGTATTTAAAACATTTTCTATTTAAGAGAGTAACAAATATTTGTTACAAATACTCTTCAGTAGTCCCCTGTGACACATGCAATTATTATTCTCCTGACTTGGCCAGCAGATGCTTTAATAAGGAGGCTTTCAGCAAGTTAGTTGCAAACTTGACAATGTATGGATGACCTCCCATTTTGATGTTTTTACCAGTGCAAAATGCTAGCTCTTACTTATTATCTTCTCTGGTCCAAATCTTAATATTCACTTGCAAGTTAATATGTACATAAACCACTGCTAAAGAAACATGGTTTGAGTGAGTCAATATAAAAGTGTTGCACATATGATAAGAAATAAAACCTTGAATCAAAAGCACAGTTGCAGATAATTAACTTCTGTGAAGGAACTGTATTGACTTAAAGCAAAGGGCTTGTGACTTTGGAACAAAGGTTCCCAGGCTTTGCACAGTGAAATGTTTGCTGAGGGTCACAGCTCACACCTCCTCCTTATTTCCAGTTGCCAGTCTCCACTGACAGAATTCTTAAATGCATCACTTTCCACTATTAGATGTACATACACTGTGTAAAGAAGTATAAATATAATATTTAGATATAGTGCATATTTAAGTTCTATACACATAACTATAGCATTTGATGTATTCGATGCAGAGTTTCATATATACACAACCACAATATTGTAGGTAATGTTATAGTTGTAGGCAATTCACAGAATTCGGGTGACAAAAGGTAGTCAGGGAAAAGATCTCCAGGATGGAAAACAAAATGAAAGTTCTTTGATACTGCCCCTGCATTAAATGGCAGTCTGCAGTATGAACAGATAAATAACTGGGGAGCCCAGAATGAGTTCAGAACTTCGCAGTGTGTCTTCAGCATCTGATTTCCTATCAACTGTTTTTTAAAGTTATTGTATATTTCTGCAAGCTACAAATCAGCTGGGCTCTCAACCTACACACAGCAGGTAGTCTTATCCTCATTGGACGTCTTGTCAAATTGGTTAATTAAGTTAGAACTAAGGCAAAATTCTGTGAAATCAGATTGTGACAAGCTATCGTCTTGGTTGTGTCTTTCAGAAAACACACCTGAAAAGTATTTGTCTGCAATATCAGCTGTATCTTCTTCTGACCAGCCATTTCTTTTGCCTTTTAAAGAATGAGATGGGACTAATCATCTTCTTCCTATGGTAACTCCAAAGTCAATGCTAATTAGACAGTAAATTTGAATTATTTATTTTTACTATTACAGCTGTTACTTGCCTCCATTAGCTTTAGAGAATGGATCCTCGCCTGCCACGATATGCAGTCCCCCACTGCTTCATAGGCCACGGTCCCTTACTTTATTCTGTCTTTGACTAGGCTCAGTCTGGTCAAGAATGCATCTTGGCCCTAATTTCCACGATAACCATCAAGTTGTTGGAATTGTTGCATTTAAAGACCTCCACCAGTTGCCATATGCCTTTGCAATGAAAAAACACCACATGTGAGCATTTTTAAATATGTATGTTGAATTATGTATACAAGATGCCTTCTCCCATTCTCACTCCAGTTTCCCATCTTAGAAAACTGGCCCTGCTTCTAGGGCCTACATGCTCCATTTGTTTCCTGCTTGTGCCCCTTCAGTCAAATATCTTTGCTAAGGTCTGACATTCCTTTTCCCTCTGCCCCCCGGCAAAAACATGGTAAGCGTCCTCTGATTCTTGTTATAAATCCTCTTTTTTTTCCTTTCCTAAAAATCTTGTAATTTTTGAGCCTTTGGTTAAGGCTTAAATGTTTAACGACTGCTTGTTTTAAACCAACT